AGCCTGCCCCGGAGTGACATCCACGCGCGCCTCGCCGCGAGCAGCAGGGCTGAGGCTCTGATTCCGGGGGAGGCCGACTCCGCCCCGGCCGGAGGAGCTGGGTGTCCCAGCCCTCTCTCCCCTCGCGCCGGAACATCAGTGTCAGGTGTGTGCTTCCTGGGAGACCCCGTTCCTCTGTCCCCGGGAGAGGCGGGGGCGCGGACCCTTTCTGACCCCGGCTAGGACTCCAGTGTTTGGGTGGGTGGTGGCGGGAATCTGGGAAAGACTTAGAATTTCTCCCCAGCAAGTGGTTCTTATCCAGAGGTTAGTTGTTTACATTTTTGGACGGCTGTAGGGAGTAGTATCCATTTTATTCTTTAGTTGATTGGCAGGACTTTGCGGTGAGTGTCGGTGTCTCACTGAAAGTTTGCTGCAAACTTTTGGCTTGTAGATGGGGCTGGTCTGATTGTTGCTCCCTTCTGAAGCAAGGCAACAATGAACGATTCTAGGAGGCTGAGGCTTCTTTGAGGACCTTAGCTGCTGGAGGGTGACAGTTCTAGGCGGAAATGGAAGGCGTACAAAGATGAACTTAAAATATAGCCTCTACTCCCCAGGTAGTAACTTCTACCTAACAAAAAGATTAGCAAAGAATGCTTTGGCAGGATGGTGTAGCTCTTAGCTGCTGGTCTCTAGACTGCCTTCCACCTAATGCATAGGACCATTCACTCTTGAACAGCCTTCCTTAAGAGTTCCAAAGTAATTTACAAACACAGATTCTCACAGTCTAGTGGCATGGGCCAACCCAAATTACATAACACATCATGAGGGGCAGCTATAGAAATAGCTAACAGCTAATTTAGTCAATTTATACTCGTATAAATAAGGAAGGAAGGGTAAGTTACACTTAGTCTTTATTGAATTTTGCATATGTTTCAAGTTTAAGAGATGTGAAATTTCTTTTTAGAGTGTAGAGGGTAATGGCAGCTGCTGTACTGAGGCCAAGCACTTCCTGGTAGCTACTGAACACTACAGTTTCTGAGTTCTGTAGTTTTTGCTGACCATTTGCTGAGAGCTGGATGCCATTGCCCAATGGATACCATGCACGGCCTGGGGAACCTTATGATTCAGATGTTGAAACCTCTCTGTGTTTCTCATATAGGCATATGTTAAGTTAGAACACTCTCTTTACTTTTACAAATCAGCTCTTCAAATAATACAGCAGTACCTTAGTGAATAATGGATAAAAGGTAGAATTTTAGGTTTGAGAACCAACATTGGTGGAACTGTCCATTCTGATATCTCACATAGTCACTTCATTTTATAAAGAAATTCTAAGCAGGATTAAAGCTCTGCTTCCTTTTCCCTCCCTTTGATTTATTAAAAGACTCAACGGTCTGGCTCAGTAATTGACAAAAGGGCCACAGGGTTACCAATTGTCAGTGGGGTTTAGACTGCCTCCCAGTTTAATTTTTTTAACTATTTAATCTCATTATGGATATTTAAAAAGATTCCACTATCGTTGTACAAAAATCATATTAAACTATTACAACTCTGAAATTATCCTGTTTGGTTATTTGTTTATGTTTGTTTTCTCTTTCATCACTAGCATGCAAGTTCTGTGAGAGGGCTTGCTCAGCCTCACATATTTCTAATATATTTCTTTTATATTTCTAATGCCTGGTACGGTGACTAGCTTATAATAAGCATTCAATAAATGTTTTTTTCAATGAGTAACTAAACTGTGGGACACACTCTAGCTGAGTGTAGTGGGAGAAGGAGAACTAAAAATTTTGGCCTTAGGTAACCTATTCAAACTCACTGAGCCTCAATCATGTCATTGGCAAAATGTGGATAATAATATATGATAGAATATAGGTAAAATTGCTAGTGGACCTGTCAGGTAGTAGACTTCAAAATATTAGTTTCCTTCCTTCCTTATATTTTTTCTTTTTATGTTCATAAAGGGAAGATTTATACAAAGAATATGGTTAGCTAGATAATTTAGCTTTTGCATGTCGTGCATGAATTATCCAGACTTTAATTTGGTGTGAATGGTTGGGGGTTGGGAAGGGCAGGTAGTGGCAGCTATGATTATTAAAGAAGGGGAAGCAATTTCCAGATCGTTATCTAATGTCTCCTTTTTTTTTTCTTCTTTTAAATGTGATGATGTTTCTGCTTAGGTTTTCTGAAACTTGATTCTTTCTACTTGTCAATACCAGGACTCACTTGGTTGTCCTAAGTGCAGAAACAACGCTTCAGAAAAAGAGCATTAGAAATCAAATGTATGTAACACTTGGCTTCTTAAATGATCTTTTCTGTAGTCTTGTGCACCTTTATATAGTAACAAGCGCTAGGTAAAGAAAAAGTATGGTTATCCTGCTTTGAAGAAGTTAGAGTTTGTTTAACAAGGTAAAACATCGATGTAAAACAATTACAGACTAACATAAGGTCTTGCATAGTCATATACCCAGTGGTAGAAAGTTGGCTTGTAACTTGTGATTAGGGACGGGGGATGTGATCATGGGCTCAAGTAGTTGAGACAGTTTTGTGGTGAAGAGAATGTCACTTCAGTAACAGAATTAAAGTTTCCTGAAGATTACAGTAAAAGAAAATATCTTTGTTTCAAGAATACTATTTTGTACTTCAGTGTATTAAAAAGCCAGCCAATTATATATTTTTAAAAATGATCTTTCTGTGAAAAAGTATGTTAAAAACCTATGCTAAAATTCTGTATGTGCACTAAATAATACTTTCACTATTTCTCTGATGTTTTAAAGCTCAGGATTGGAGTTAAAAATTGTAACTTCATTCTTGCCACTTTTAACACACTTGTGTGAAAGTGTCACATGGCCTGCCTGTTACTCTATCCATTTTGTACAATGGGATATAGCTTTCCTCTGAAATTTCAGGAGAAAATTGCTTGTCTTTAGGTTTAAGACCCCCATAACTGGCTAATTTCAGGGTTGTTATTTTGGGAGTTAGGGAAGAAATGAATGGAACAAAACTAAGAAGATATTATCAAAGTGGTTTTAGATAGTCATCAAAATATTTAGATAATTTCATCAGGGCTCATCACTTTTGAAATAAAATGGAAACTTGGAAGTTGTGTCACAGCGGAAGAGGAAACTAATAAATGGCATATTGTATATTTCCTTGATTTAGAATGGTCGACGTGATGGGAGGAAGAAATGCAGAAGGCAGAGATGATCAGATTCAACTTCAAGTGAGAAAGGCAAGGGCTAAGGTGGCTGCAGCCAGGAAATCTCTAACAACTTTAGAGGAAACTTCTTGATGTATTTATTGTCTGACCAGGGATTGAATTTAGGGACATTTAAGGAAAAACAGACATGGGGAGCTGATGGTTTAAATACCTGACGATGTTTAGATGATTGTGGTCAGAGTTTGTCCAGAACTCTAATTTTGTGTCCTTACATGAATGTGACTGTGATTTTTTTGTTTATTGTTTCTTGTTTCCCAGGACTTTAATCTTTTGTTAGAGTTCTTACTGGTTCTTTGAGTTAAATATTTCTTCCTATATAATGTCTATGTTCTAGTTTTCCATTTTTTAGTTGAAACTTTTATGTTGATTCTTTCAAAATCAGATTTCTGACTTATGTAGCAGGCAAAACATGGTTTCTGATTTTAATTAGGTCAAGCTTGGGTCTCCATTAAAATTAGTGGGAGAGAATTAGTTAATAGAAAGTATTTTCCTCTCAACTAAAAAATTATCGTGACATATGTATTAACAAAACTTTAAAACATTATTTGGGGACATCTTTTAATTATTCAGGCAAATTTAAATTACTGATGCAATAATTTTTTAGTAATGAGATACTGTTAAGATGTGTGTATTTTTTTTATTAATTACTGTTTAATTTAGATTTTTTAAAGCCTTATGTTTTTTAAATAGTGATATGTCCTCTGTGGAATCTCATATTTGATTACCCACCCATATCTTTCTATAAAATGTTTTAGTGTAGAGGAGAAAACAAACCCCACAAACTACAAGAGAAAGATTGTTTTCCGAAAATGAGATTTCTAGAAGCTGCCACTGTCAAATGAGATGGCCTCTGAGTATGACTTGTTGACATATGCTTAGAAAACTTTATTACTTACCTATACTCAACAGTGACCACTAAAGCCGGCTGGTTATATACAATAGGAATAAAAGTTTATGTTCAAGGTAAACATTTTAGGAAAATTTTAGTTAAGATTTTATGCCATTATTAGTTCAATAAAACAAAATAACCTTCTAAACGTATGTGGAAAAAATGATGAAAATAATAGAGCTCAAGAGTACTAGGTTCTCAAAAATAATTTTCCTTTAAATGGAATAAAGAAAGGATGTTCTGTTTCATTGTGGTAATGCTACTGCTTTGATCATGTCACTCTCTGCTCCACCCTTCCGTGGGTCACTCTGTCCTATTGGATCAAGTTCTAAACATATGTCTTGGAATTTATGGACTTCTCTAGTCTTTTCTCATTTTTAAGTTTTTGTCTTTATCTTCCAGTCAGATTAGACTATTTAGAATTCCTTTAATCTATCTTATTCTTATGCTGACCCTATGCTAATGATCTTTCTTCCACTTCACCTAGCAATCCTTGAGTGTCCTGACCACTGGCTTCCAGTTTCATGAAGCTTTCTCTTGTGTACATTTTCTTTTTCTTTTTGTCTTAAAGTCTGTTTTTTTTTTAGAATTTAAGTATAGTTGGCATACAATATTATATTAGTTTCAGGTGTACAATATAGCGATTTGACATTTATATACCTTATGATGTGATAATCCCACTAGAGTAATCATCTGACACTCTGCAAAGTTATACTATTATTGACTGTATTCCCTTTGCCCCGTTTAGTCCCCAGTCTTCTGGCAACCATCAGTTTTTTTCTGTTTCTGTGAATCTGTTTTCGTTTTGTTTGTTTGTTACTTTAGATTCCACACAGAAATGAAATCATACTGTATTTGTCTTTCTCTGTCTGACTTATTTCACTTAACATAGCACCCTCTAGGTCCATTCATGTCGCAAATGGCAAGATTTCATTCTTTTTTATGGCCGAATGATATTCAGTTGTAAATGTATACCACATCTTTATTCATCTATCAATGGTTGCTTCCATTATCTTGGCTATTGTAAATAATGCTGTAGTGAATGTGTACATTTTCTGACCCCTTCAACTATTCTTTATGCCACTCACAGTCTCTCATTTACTCTTGTGTGTGACAATTATTTGGAAACATGAATCATTTCCTTTCCTGCAGAAGATCATGCATAGCAAGGGCTGGATGTTACACAATTTTAAAGACCTCACATGCCCAACCTATGTGTCTCTCATGTGGGGGACACCTAGTAAATAGTTGTTGAATGAATGGTTGCCTCATAATACACTCATCACTTAATTACTCAATAAATACGTGATACAAATGGGTTGGGTGCAATTAGACAGCAGATAACACACAGGCAGATACATCTCAGACAATCAGTTAAACTGGAAACTTTATCTTTTTCAAGCCTCCCTTTTTCCCCTACACATTTGGTAGTTTTGATAGCTAAAAGATATTTAGGAGGAGGAAAGGAAATTACAAAGTTATAAAAATAATCCCTGAAGAAAATCAGTGGAGGAAAATAGAAATGAGGTCATTTAACATCTACTGAGTTCTCAGCCACCTTATCAGAATTCTTAGGGTTCCCTTCTCTTCACTCATTTCTCCCTTCTCCCCTCACTTGCCCACCTAATCCAGTCTCTTCAGAAAGAACCCAGAAAATTAATTCATAATAAAATGATTGATAAAATTAACTTGTCACCTTCTCAAAGGTCTGGATTCTAAGGGACAAAACCTTGGGGACCTTATGCAGGCTAGGTTGAAGGAGCTTTTGGGGAGCAGCGTTTGCTTCTGTCCATCCCTGAAGTCACATTATAGCCACTTAAATGTGGCTTTGGTCAGTCTCTGTACTTTCCAGTTTCTTCCTCTGTAAAACGAGAAGGCTGGACTGCATGGAATTTAAAGTCCATAAAAAGCACAGTGTTTTATTACTCTTGCCCAGCTTCAGAGGAAGCCAGTGTCAGCCAGTGGGTTCTGTTCACTAACTTTTTCTCTTACTTCCCTGAGTTCGCGGTTTCCTTTTTCTCAGCATCTCTAGATGTAGTATTCACATCTGGAAGATGCTGTGCTCTTGATCTCCCTCCTGGCTTATGCTCATAGAATCTGTCATAACAAGTATATTTTCACTGCTTACTTTCATTAATGTTTGCTAGTATAAACCCTTTCCCTCCATCTCAGCCCATCATTAAGTGTCTGGAATAGTTATCTAACATAATATAGATTCCCAGGTTTTTAAAATAGAGAAGGAGTTAGACATCTAACCCAACACTGTCTTTTTATTATTCATAATGAATAGTAATGATAAGTATCATTTATTGAGCAATCACCATTTTCTAAGCACTGTGCTAAGCACTTTGTGTACATTATTTCATGTGTCAACCTTGAACCCTGTTATATCATTGAGGAAACAGTTCCAGAAAACTTAAGAACTTATGTGACTCACTCAAAGCCACATAGTTATTTTCTGGTATGACAGAAACTGCTAGGAAAACTGTGTAAAAGAAATAATAGAATCAAGAGATAATCCTACTGGCATTTCTGCTTTTTGCTACTTTGGATTCTATTCCTTGACTCATTGAACTTTGCCTTTTTAACACGTCTACCTCCTTGTACTTTACCCTGTGATTCAACAGTTTCTACCTGTGATGTTGAACTTTTTCAAACACTGGATGCATAGCACAGTATGCTGGGCTGAAACAATACTCATTTTGATTTGACTCCTAGAAACCCATGACATTGTTAAAATCTTCTTTAGTCTTAATGAATGTGGAAATGACCTGCAACTTGGTATCAGTCTGTCTTTTCCACTCGTACACCTGGCTTTGTGAATGCTACTGGGGAAATGAACACAATTGTGTAAATTGGAGGTACATAGAAATTTATCTTCTCCAGCTATAGCCATGAGACAATTCTTGCACCTGTTTCTAGATAGCACCCTTTTCATTTCTTGCTATAGTTTTTCTGAGCCTTCAGCATTTTCTTTGAGCCTTTTACCCTACCTGTACATTTTTAAAATCAGAAGATTATTGTTAGTGATTAGAACAGACTAAACTAGTAGAAAGATATAAAAACAGATGAAAGCATAAACACAAGTTTTTTTCTTGATCATGTTTATAGTTTTGGTTGCTGAATGGCTTCTCTCTACTGGATGAATCAGGCACCCTGCAACCTTTCATTTT